AAAGAAAATAAAATATGTAAAGTTTCAAACTATAAAAAAATATACTTCGATCAAATGTAATAAATTCATGATCTATAGAATACCTTGACGTTTGTCTTCCGCTGTGGTTTCCCTAGGCTACATGCCTTTATCGATATCAGCATTTCCAGCTTCATTCAATTGTGCACAAACATCGAGGAGCATTGGAGTTCTGTGGAAGGTTTTTCTCAATTCTACCTTCATTTAATTCAGCATCATCAGAGACTTTTTGAGTTGTGTCAATTGAAGCACAACTAGTTTCAACTTCCACTGCATATTCATAAAGAGGGGGAATAGATCCACTAGTTTTTATATATATATAACATAGTAAAAATTTATACCTGTAGTGAAAATTTCACTACAGGACATTATCAAAAAGATCAGTTAAAACTTCAATCTCTAAGAAGGCTGAAGTTCGACAGTTACAAAAACAAAAACTTCAGCTCTAGAGCTGAAGTTCGACAGTTACAAAACAAAATCTTCAGCTGAAGTTTTGTTTCATGTTTTGTGTTTTTTTGTTATATATTTTTATGAACTATTATAAACTTCACATTTTATACCTGTAGTAATAATTTTCTGCGTATCACCACCTAAAATTTCCTTGCAAATAGCTAGTGCTCCATCAAACAAATTGCCCTGTCCAATATCGTTTTTCAAAGAGCAACTCGATGCATGTTTTTCAGTACCAACAACTTGATCATCTGCACCTTGTTGTTGAACATGTTCATCGTATTCAACAATCGCTTCCTTACGTGTAGCATTATCATCTGCGACTTTACGCGATGGATCATGAGCAACATGTTCTTCAACTTGATTATCTGCATATTGCTTGCTTCCAACATTCTCAGTTGCTAACTGTTCTTCATCATTTCCATCTTTGCTCAATATATTAGCACTGGATCGTTCCTCTTCAACTTGTTTCTTAACATGTTGATCGCCTTCAAAAGCCGCTTCCTCACGTGTAGCATTTACATCTGCGACTTTATCTGATGCATCATCAACAACATTAATATTCAATGGATGTTTGTAACAGTTGATCACCCTATCATATTCTCGATGGTTACTCAAATAAAAATTGCCATCGTCCATTTCATTTGATTTGTTGACAATCTTAAACAACTGTTCAAACTTCTCATCGAAATATTCCTAGAAAAAAAATTACTAATAATGATTAATCTGAATAACATCAGCAGAAATAAAAAGACTTCTCTATAAATTAGCTTACCTTCACTTTTACAAAAACCGCATCAACAATAGCAGATCGCTCATCCTTTTTAAACTTATCGAAAACTTCGTTCACGATCATGCTTCTTTCTTTTTCTGCATGCCTTTGAACCTCCATCGTTAACCTCTAGAATAGACACACAACAAAAATTCAGATATAGAAGAAAACTTCAGATCAAAAACATTTTGTACTTTTACAAAAATAAAACCAAAAAACTTCAGATCAAAACTTACAGAACATATTGTCTCAAGTAATTCATTGTCATCAAAGTCAGATGTAGAACGACTCTGGGTACGAGATGATTCGCTAATAAAAGGAGATCGATTCGGTTCTTTTGATCGACTCCGACTACGTGGTGATTCACCAATGACAGGAGTTCGATTCGCTTCTTTTGATCGAGTCAGAGTACGTGGTGATTCACCAGTTGAAGGAACTGTATTAACTACCTTTGAACGAATCCTGCTGCATGGTAATTGTCCAATTAAAAGCATTGAATTCAATTCCTCTTCTGTATGAATTATATCCAATATCTTATAGTCGCGATATCTCTGTTTAATACAAAAAAGTATATTATGAGGAGAAAAAAACTAATACATCAACATATTAACACAAAGACAAAAAAAAAGTAACTTACTTCATAAGTACTGAACATATGATAAAGTTCAAGAAATTTAGGCTCTCCCACACATACATAACGTAACATCCTGGGAACCTCAGGGTATCAAGGTACTCATCCTCTCTTATATACTTCTCCCGAATATTTGGAAAGCGCTCATAGAACCAAGCACATAACGGATATGGAAATCCACCAAGTTTATACTCAGTTATATGTAATTTGTTCTGCTTGTCCAATGCATGTTTCAGTGAATAAATGAGCTTCTCATAAGCCACATTACCCCAAGGATATTCAACACAAACCTTATCATCTTCAACAATAGATGCATACTCCTCCATTACAGATGACTCGGTATTTTTCCCAAATAAAATAGACTCTACAACAAGAATTTCCATAAGCTTAACAACATCATCATCACTCTCGTATATGTGTACGTGATTCACAACATTCTTTGGAATTTCATTGCAAGTCATAAAACTTCGAATATCCTTCAAAGTCACACCCTTGGACTTACCAAAATACCGCTTCAGAATATTGCTCTCTCGATTAATTGATTTTTCAATATTATGTGTTGTGATCCGCAAACCACACATAATGTGAAAGTCTTCAAGAGTGAAGAAAACATCATGACCAAAAATCTTGAAACTAAGTCTCGATCATTGGTGAATATTCGAGAAAGACACAGACAATGAACCAACTTCATGCTGCATTGAAAATTCTCCATAGCCATAATGTATCGAAATGTACCATTATTAAGCTTATCCCGTTGTGTAGGAGTCAAGAAAGTTGCAATTAATTTCTTCAAATCATGGTTCCCCTTCCCGTAACCCTTAGAGTTAAACCAATCTCCAAACTCAAAATATCTTTGCCCTGGTCTTGTAGGTGGAGGAGCAGGGACATAAAGACCTGGGGGTATTATAGGTTATCTAGGTGCTTTAGGTGTTTTGCCTACTTTAGCTGCATTAGGATCTTTAGATGCTTTTGGAGCCATCTATTCAAAAAAAAGTAAAAGATACAAAAAATAACATCAGGACATTATCAAAAAGATCAGTTAAAACTTCAATACCTAAGAAGACTGAAGTTCGACAGTTACAAAGACAAAAACTTCAGCCCTAGGGCTGAAGTTCGACAGTTATAACACAAAAACTTCAACTCTAGAGCTGAAGTTCGACAGTTATAAAATAAGAACTTCAGCTCTAGAGCTGAAGTTTGCTAGTAACAAACACAAAAACTTCAGCTCCTTAAGCTGGACTTCACCAGTTACAAACACAAAAACTTCAGCTCCTAAAGCTGAACTTCACCAGTTACAAACACAAAACATTCAGCAAAAAAACATGTTGTAGTTTTTACAAAAAACAAAACACAAATTCAAATCCAAAAATAATGCCAAAACATGAAAAAAAAACTTCAGCTCCTATCTAAGGTATCATTGAACTATTATAAAACAAATAATAGTTCAGCTCCTAAATAGTATCATCTATTTAACTCTCAAAATTTTTAAAAATTTGGACGTCTAATCACAGAAGAATTTATAGAATTTTCATCAACAACATAAACAATCGTTCAAAAAACCTAAAAACACAATCGTAAAAGTAAAACTAATGCACTTATCAAACTAAACCCTAAGAAAATATTTTATCATAAATACATGACTATCAAAACCAAAACCAGAAATTAAATCGTAAAATAAAACCCAGAAAGTTAATGCAATGTACCTGTGATTAAATCGTAATGTGGGAACAACGATAACTAGCAGTTGAAAAATCAAAACAACAACGCGAATAACAATGTGATTTCAGAGAAGAACAAATCAAAAAAAGCGAATAACGGGAGAGAGACAAAGACAGTAGAAGACTACCGTATACTTGGAGAGAAAGTAGTCTTTTAATAAAGAAGGGCAAAATAGTCTTTTCAAATGGCTTTTAACAAAAAAAATAGGTACGTGTGCAAATAAAAAGACAAAACGGCTACAAGTTAAAAAGGGGCGCCCAAGTACAATTTTTACAATTAAAATGGATTAACAAAAAGAAGTCCATGTTAAATGTCTGAACTAATTCTCAGTTCCCTAAACTATTAAATTCTGTTGTCGGTGGGAAAATTGAGAAAATATTTAATTGAAGTTGTAAACACGCACAAGACGACAACATGATGAGGAGGAATACCTTGGTCAAAAACTAACCATGCATGTGAACATTATCGTATCCATTAAAGCGTACTTTAATAAAACAAAGTTGTTACTTACTCCATAAAAAAAAAAAAAATTACCAGCAAGCTCTCAAATCTCCCACTTTAACCAAATTCCTAAACTATTAACTACTCAGTTACTCAATTCTGAAGTGAATATTTTATTTTTACGTGGCACATCTATTCATGTGAAAGTAAAAAATAAAATGCTTGAACTAAAGGATAATCGGATAAGTAATGGAAAAATATTTGAAATGAAATTTGGAAACTGGAAAATTCAAATTTACAAAGTAATACTAGTATATGATTAACTGTCTATTCGAAAGAAGAATAATGAATTGGCATTTACAAGAATAAAAATACAAATATTCAATCTAGGATACATGTAGCGATTAAGTCTCAATAATTAAATCTAGGCTAAGATTTCGCTATTTGTGATAGTTTATTGAAAAGCTTAACTGTGTGAAGCTCTTCAAATCTTTTTATTCATTTGTTTTTCCGGCTGAATGCACTTATCTAAAATTCTTTGAGAACAACCAAAAACACAGAAAATTTTAAGAAAAAAATATAACTATATATAGCTCCCGTTTGACTATAATTTTTTTAACACTTTTTTTTCAAAAAAGAAAAATTAAAAATATTGTTTGGCTATAAAAAGTCACTAGTTTTGGACAGTTTTTGAAAATGAATTTTCAAATTTCAAAATGTAGTTTAGGCTAGTTTTGCAAAATTCAAACTCACAAAACTTCAATTTCAATCAAGTAAAATGTATGTGTCAAAATAAAATATCAACTTTCAAAAATTATTTTTCATCTCATTTCGATTTTTTTAAGTTTCAACTAGATTTATAACCAAACGCTAGCTTCAAATATATTTTGGGTGCTTTCCAAAAAAAATTTAAAAATAATAACACTTTCATTTGGATAGAAGTACATGCAAAATTTCTATATTGAGATAGCTTCCATTTATTTCTGTTCAGACTGTTCCAAGTTCTAACTCTATCACAGCAGGGTTGAAAAAAAGAAAAAGCTCCATTAAAGCAGAGGATTTTTTCCATAGAGTGAGAGAGCTGTAACTGTTGTCTACGTATTGGTGGCGCACTATCAGATTTCTGTCCGCTATTTCCTCAAGACTTGGTCTCCTCCTTAACTAACTGCCATCTGGTTTTATCTCTCTGATCTCATTTTCCACCATTTTCATTCACCTCATCTTCTTTTTCTTGCAAATCTGTCCATTAATTTCAATTCCACTGCCACATCCCATTTCCAGATATTTATCTTCTGCTTAAGGTTGGTTTTTGTTCCTCTAGGCTTTTTTCCAGTTCTTGAATGAGCATCATCTCATATTTTGTTCATGCTTTTTCATTTCTGAGAATGTGAACTCAACCCCATCTTCTCTTTTTTCCTTTCAATTCAAGATTTAGAATTTAATTTTGAATTTTTGTTTTCTGATGTTTTGATTTGATTGACTTACCTTCGCCATCCACCGACAGTTCCAGAGAGATAAAAATAGCATCTTTTTCCCTTTTGTAACCATTTCAAGAAAATGCCACCACTAATAACCACAAATTTCATTACCCTTTTCCTAATTGTGATTTTCATCTTCACCTTCTCAGCCAATTCCCAAGATTCTGATCTTGAGACTGATTGCACAAACAAATGGATCCATATTAGACACTTACCACCTCAATTCAACCTTGACTTGTTATCAAATTGCTCTGAATATCCGTTGTTTGATAATTTCTGCCCTTATTTACCAAACCATGGTCTTGGCCAAAAAACTCACAACAAATCACACAGCTGGTATAGGACTGACCCTTTTATGCTTGAGCTTGTGTTTCATCGTAGGATGCTTGAATACCCTTGTCTAACTTCTGATCCTAGTCATGCTAATGCCATTTATGTTCCTTACTATGGTGGAATTGATAGCCTTAAGTACTTATTTGGTCCTGAAGTTAATTCCAGTTTTCAACATGGTCTTGATTTGTATGATTTTTTAGCACATGTTGATTCACCTAATATTTGGAGTAGAAATTATGGTCATGACCATTTTTTGGTCATGGCAAGACCTGCTTGGGATTTTAGTCAACCTTTGTATAATGATCCTATTGTTTTTGGTACTTCATTTCTTGAATTGCCGGAGTTTTACAATGTTACTGCATTGACTCTTGAAGGTAGAGCTTATCCTTGGCAAGAACAAGCTATTCCTTATCCCACTTCATTTCATCCTCCAAATTTAGCATTTTTTGAATCTTGGGTTAATAGGGTAAGGAGGTCTAGGAGGAATACATTGATGTTGTTTGCTGGTGGTGGTGGAATTTCAGCTAATCCTAATATTAGGAGAAGTATTAGACTTGAGTGTGAGAATGTGACAAGTATGAGTGCTAATGGCACTGGCTACCAAAAGTTATGTGAATTTGTGGATTGTTCTAATGGGATTTGTGAACATGATCCTATTAGGTTTATGAAGCCAATGTTGCAAGCTAGCTTTTGTTTGCAACCTCCGGGGGATACACCGAGTAGACGATCAACGTTTGATGGGATTCTTGCGGGGTGCATTCCTGTATTCTTCGAAGATTTGTCCGCGAAAAAGCAGTATGGTTGGCATTTGCCAGAGGAGAAGTATGAAGAATTTGCAGTCACTATACCTAAAGAAGATGTTGTGTTTAAGGGGTTGAAAGTTTTTGATGTTTTAACCAGTATACCAAGAGCTCAAGTTAGGAGAATGAGAGAAAAGGTTTTGGAAATGATACCTAGAGTTATGTATAGAAAGCATGGAAGTTCACTGGGTTTGAGGAGTAAAAAGGATGCCTTTGATATTGCAATAGAGGGCACTTTGGAAAGAATCAAGTCTAGGCTTCAAGAAGTAGCAGCTCAATAATTATTATCCTTGGTGAGCCTTGGCGTAACTGGTAAAGTTGCTGTCGTGTGATCAGGAGGTCATGGGTTTGAGCCGTGAAAACAACATCTTACAGAAATGCAGGGTAAGACTGCGTACAATAGACCCTTCTGGTCCGGCCCTTCCCTGAACCCCGCACATAACGAGAGCTTAGTGCACCGGGCTGCTCTTTTTTTGTTCTATTCTATCTCTTGTTGTTCTTCTTGGTTGTTACTACTATTATTTATACCTCACCAAGGGTGTAGAGATAATTTTGTATTTCATATTTCCACTGATAATGAATAAATGTAAAGTCATTTATCAGAAAATCTTGGTTACCATACTTCTAAATTCTAATGCTATTAATTTGCTTGTCATTGTCAATTATACAGCAAAAAACCAAAAGATTCAGACAACGTATACAACAATCATGTACCAGAACCTAGCTTCTCATGCAAATGAACTTCAGAATCTAACTGAATATGCTAATAGAATCCATCTAACAATGGTGAAATTAACTGGTTTAAAGAAGGTCTAATCAGTGAATAAAGCTAATGGTAAAGGGAGTATGTTTTAGGCCATGTTAAAAGGGAATCAGTAGCATTCTGATAAATATGTACAACAACAAATCTAGTGTAATCCCACAAGTGGGGTCTGGAGAGGGGAGAGAGTAGTGTGTACGCAGACCTTACCCCTACTTTTAATAGGCAGGGAGGCTGTTTCCGATAGACCATCGGCTTAGCAAGGAGCAACAACAAGCAAATCAATCAGAAAATCGAAGCGAACATACATGACTAACTTTAAGTACTGCAGTCTGATAAATCTGTGTTCTTGCAATACTGAACCTCTTGTTTTACCTGCTCAGAATAATCTCATTAGGATGGAATAATTTGCCACACTTCTAGAAGTTTCAGTATTTTCCACCAATCATACCCTCAAAGTTGAAAGAAGTTATCTATTAGAGAACTTAGAATGAGCATTTCTGTTGTTATTCAAGGCATAACAGAGCTAGCAATGATGCATATGAGTAAAACTTCAAATGTAACCGTCTTTACCATTTATGTATCTTGTATAAAATAGCTAGAAATCACAATATGAAAACTCACTTATAAAAGAAAATCATCATACGAATACTTAAATCATGGTAAAAGTTAGGCCAAATAACACACTGGGCTTTAAAAAAATCGAAGAATTAGCTATAAAGATGCAAACTGAAAGGCTTACATGTTCCTCAATGAAGAATCATCAAGAGTATCAAGTCATTTCCAAATTTAGCAGGTGCAGTGAACACAAAATGTCACAGATTTTCTACAGTTAAAATGCCACATATATAACTTTCATTGATAATGAATGGCATTAGTGTGGAGTGCATGCCTCAAGATTACCTGTTGAATTTTTATAGAAAAGAACGAGCTATGACAATTGTGAATTCCTGCTAATGTGGTAAAGTCTGTTATTATTAGATAGTGAAACTCTACCTCGCGCCACAGACCTAAATTCGATTGGCTCAGGAAGTCAGGTTAAGCATTGATTGTTACAGGAGATGAGAAAGAATTCAATCACAAGTAAATTCCATTGAATTAAACTTGTATGTCTGATATAAAACAAATTAAGATGCAACCAGACTAACGCCACTGGTAATTATAACTTTGTAGGAGCCATGTTAGGCAAAAAGCACCAGTGGTCTAGTGGTAGAATAGTACCCTGCCACGGTACAGACCCGGGTTCGATTCCCGGCTGGTGCATTCTTTTTGATGTTCTTAATGATTTTCTTTTTTCAAACCAATGGACATAGTTCGCTGACATGAAAATGAGAGACCAAATCAATTACGGGGAAGAATTCGTCTATTTTGTCCATTTGGTTCTTTTCTAAACATTTGCTCTCCTCATTCTTTCATAGTCTTCCAATGCCATATGTGTGTGTATATATCTCTCTCTCTCTATATATATATATATATATTCTCTTTTTGTTTCAAATAATAGTTCCAGCTATTATTACAATCTGCCTTCTAATATATGGAATAATTTTTGAAACTACTAAAGTATGGGAGAAAACTCTTCTACAAATAAAGTTTACTTTTATCTATGTTAACCTGATTTTTTCCCCTTCCTTTTTTGAGTGATCGCTCAAATTGTAACTGAATTAATGTAGTTTGACAAATTGTGATTTAGTTATAATTGATTATGGAGGTTTAAAGCAACTATAAATTGTGTCAGAACTGTTTAGTCTACAAATAATGAACTATAGTTGAACATTTATTTTCAGCCAAAAATTTCATGCTTCATTTGTCAAACCTATTTAAAAAAAAAATAGTCTGGATGCCAGCCTGACTACTAGGGGACCATTCTTGTAAGCTGTAAAAACCTGATATTTATTGCTACTCCATTGTGTTTCTGGAAAAATTCACTTAAGAATAGCATTAACATTTAACACTTTAGGACCACTTATATTAGATTGCTTTTTTTTTTTTGTTAAAAGTAAAAGAAAAAATAAGTTAAATGCATGAGAGTGTAAAGACTTTCATACTAACTGTGTATTTCATCAATTGTAACAATGTAATTCTAAATGATTTAAAGAAATCTAATAATAGTGTAACATGATTAACGTATAAAAATTAAGGCTCTCTCTTTCATGCATATTTAATTATACAACTTGGCATCTGGCAGTGCCACTCTGAAATTGCGAGACATGCCAATTTTACTCGGGAATTAATCCATTTGCAATCAAAAGTCAAATATAGTGTCTGAATTTTTAATTGATCAACAAAACTATACTTAAAGTTTGTACTGTAGTTTTCAAGTTAATGTCCATTATATCGAGTTTTTCGTACCTTGGATCCCGATGCAAAACTTACCAACTTTTCTCAGCTTACTTAATCATTCTAATTACATACTATGACTCCATTTTATTCAGATTTTTTTTTTCTTTTTATATATTTAAAGGGATTCGACTTGATAACAATGATCAATTTATTTTTTTCTAAATTAACTTTGGCTTTCTATACATAATTCATTTTCAAACGTAACATATTTTGATTGAGGCAACTAATTAACAATATAGTAGCCGTTTGGACGTAAAATTATAATTTTTGAAAAAGTAATTTTTGGAATTAAGTTGAAAATTAGTATTTGAAATTTGAAATTATATTTGGATATACATTTTACTAAAAAAAATATTGCAAATTTGTGAGTGCGAAAAAGGTTTTTCTGAAATTTTTAAAAAAGTGGTCAAAATCACTTTTTCGAAACATAAATAATTTCATAAACACACTTTTTTTTAAAAAAATTCCGAAAAACAGGAAAAAAAATTTATGGACAAACGAGTCCGTAATAGCTTCACTTAAGTAAAAAAGTTTATGAAAAACACATTGTGTCATACCGAAGAAGTGAGAACACCACTCACCACCAAAGGGAGAGTGAGTTGGTTAGATCTCACAACCATTAATCAATAATTTCGAGTTTAAGCAATAAGAATAGATAATCTTTTGATAAGGATACTTTATCTTGGCAGTAGGTTATAATTTAGTACAAATTTGAAAATAATCGAATTATTGGACTATGAATCCCTGGGGCGATGGTTCACGTTAAAAGATATAACGATGTTGCGCACTAATAGCTTTTTTCATGCACAAATAGAAATAGAATCAAAAAAGAAACACAATCTTATTAGCCTTACCGTTTTTACTTCTTTGTAGCTGAGGTAGGATTCTTTATGCGTAAAGGTCATTGCAATAATTAACACTGAACAATAACATAAGATTTTTGAAGGCAGATGAGATGAACGAAAAAGATATTATATAGTATTAGAATTCCTTACTGAAGAGCAAAAGCATCTTGTGTTCATGCAGAGCTAAGGTTCGAGGAAAAGTTGCATCTCAAAAAATATGATGCAGACAATCTATTTTGATGCAAGATTAGCGACTGATTCCGTGATTCGAATCCATTAACTTTACGATTACTCCAAAAAATTTCAAAAAATAGTCTGATGCACGGAGTATTTTATACCAAGAGTAGTGAGGACAAAGTGCAAATATCTCGAGACGAAAAGCACATTAATTGATATATATAGAGTTGAAAAGCCAAATGAGGGAAAAGCGGAGACCCACAATTCTACTTGCTTGCTGCCACATTAGTGGGAAAGACTAATAATTGCACCAACTGGCATCCAAGTTTTTAATTGATTATGTAGACACAAATCTCAGCAACTTACTGTTACGGTAGGAGGAAGAAGCACGGATCACTTTGGGTCATAGTTTGGGCAAATTAGAAATTTGAATTTTTTGGATTTTTTGGATTACGGATTTAATTTTTAAAATTTTTGGATATTAAATTTAGTACTTCGGATTTTTGGATATCCGAAATTCAAAATTTTTATACGTTATATTTAGTCCATTATCCATAAGCCAATAATAATAAGTTCAATCTCCTACCCATTAGATATTATCTCATATATTCAATATTAATTACTAAGTTACTATTAGAATACTTTCTCTTTGGACATGATTTTACTGTTGCTACTTTTTATAGACAGTATTGATGTCTATGTTGTATTTTTTTTATAATAATTTCATTACTTGAATACTTTATTTGGATGATTGCAGCAAGAATGATGAACTTTTCAGACAATTTAATATGAGTACTTCATTTGGATATTCATTTTTGTAAAAAGTAGAAACATATCAACTTATACGCTCAAAATCGAAAATCCATAATATCCAAACCGATTAATTCGAAACCGAACTTAAAAAATCTGATTCAATCCGATCTTATTTGGATTGGATTTGGATTGTCATTGTCATTTCTTTAATCCGAAAATCAAAAATCCAAATCAAAATTCTCATATTCAATCTGATCTATCCAAACGCCCACCCCAATGGACCACCAAAGATTTAATAGAATGATAGTAAGTATTTGTCTTTTTGTATATCGTATTTGAAGGATTGAAAATACCCCCGAAAAATAATTTAGACACAAGCAAGAAATTTAGCAAAAGCTATATAGAAAAAATTTATTAAACTAGGGAGAGAACTTGGTAGGAGGCTTTTTTCACAACTCATAAACTCTTGAATCTCTCTACAGTGTAGCTACCTCTCCACAATAGAAAATATATAGTAGCATCCCTATTTATAATACAAAAAAAAATTGACTAGAATCTAGAAAACTTATTCATACATGATTTAGGTTGTGAATCCTAATTAGAAATAAATTAAATAAACTAGTAAATATCAAATTCTAGAAGACGTAGGAATACTACTTAATCTTGATTTAATTTCCAGCCGTATTCGAATTCTAAATAAAGAAACGTGGTAAAAGATATCTTACCTTCAAAATAAATTTTTTGAATCGAACGCAGATTAGTCGGGCCAAACAAAAAAAGGAACGAAGGAGAAGTCTGGTAGTTTCAAACTTGTATAGGGACGAAAAGGTAAATTAATTGGTCACTTTTTGCACAAGGGTCCCTCCCTAAACTGATCCGCCTCTTTTATCACACTGAACCAACAAAATCAATAGCAACTGTACTTTGCAGACACCTACAGATGCTGAACTTTTAGATATTCTTTTTAGAACAAAAATATTCTTTCTTTTTTTTTACTTTCTATTCCAATTCCAACTTATTTTAACATTCTTTTCATTATTAGTCATGCAAAAAACTAACATCTTCTTATATATTATGTTTATTAATGACTTTCAATATAGATCTTAACAAATAGTCCTACATCATACATTATGTGATACATTTTCCCTCTTTGACTGTTTCAAAATAATATTACATTTTCGTATTCAGAATTTAAACTTATATAATCTTATTATCCTCATTTTACACTTGGTGATGCGACTTATCCATATGAATTAAAATTTCCCTTTTTAATAAGAGAAAAAACATGGAAGGGGTGTGAAATTTTCACCACCTCTCATTTATTTATTGATAGTAACCACAATTTTTTGTCGTTCACATATATTTAGCTTATCTGTCATATATCTTATTTTTAAACTTTATGTCCAATGAAATGCATTATAGTCAATCTTTTTATAACAATATACTTATATAATAATACTTTACTATAGAAGTCAAGTTTTTTTGGAATTAATTTTCATATTATGTTATTATAATATATATTATCTATAACAATACTCTGTTATAACAATAAAAAATATTCGAAACAGGCGAAACTGTTTAATGAAATTGAAATTGGGAGAGTCCAAAAGACAAGAGAAAGTTTTTATAGGTTGGATTAAAAAGAGGGCCCAAGGAGGGGGGGGGGGGGGGGGGGAGTGGCTAAAGGAACATAAAGAGAGTGTGTGTCCCAAAAAACTGAAAAGAAAGAAAGGGGGTATTTATGGATGATAAAGAAAGACTACACAATTCTTGTGGTAAATCCCACGCAAAGGCACAACCTTTAGCTTTTAGCTGCCTCCAAAGATACCATTTTTCATAGTTTCTTCATTCTCTGTAATCTTGATTTTTTTTTTGTCCTTTTTATCTGTGTTTATAATGGTGGGTGGGTAGTCAGTAGTGTAATGTAAATATCCATTATCCAGTTGCATTTAATTTGATCGCTCTAGGATCAGTAAAAACATGTCCTGTTCTTTCTTGTTTTATTCTTTCACCTTCCTAGAATTCTTGTCTGCCTTTGCTTCTGATAAAAAGAAGCTGTTTTTTCTCAATGGAGTTATGTTGGTCTCTTCCTTTCTTGTAAGTCCTTCGACTCTCTCTCTCTCTCTCTCTCTCTGTGTGTGTGTGTGTGTATTTGAGAGAGTGTGTGTGAGAGATCTCCTTGTCAAAATGGGGTTCTTGAGATTCAATGTCTGTTGTAAGGATTTTTTTTTTTTGTTTTTGAGTGATTTCTTATAAATATTTTTTTTATTTTTCTGTTTATGTGTTTTGTTTGCATGCAGTTCCTTAATGGTGTGTTGGTCAAAAGCAAAAAAGGAAAAAGCTTTACATGTATCATAAGCGTTAAGCTCCAGTATAGTGTAGTTTTAATGGGTTCTGTTGCAAATTTTCTTCTAAAAGAAAATAAAAATACAATCTTTTTGTGGTCTTAAATCTTAGCCATTTCAGTTGTTTAGCCTGGGACTGTTTATCTGTCTCATAAATTAGTTTTCTTTGTGTACTTTTATTCTATTACAGTTTTAAAAAAATAGAATATAAGAAAAGGACAAGATTAAGGAAACAATAATGATTGAGCTCACAAGACTAGGTCAGTAATACATTGTTTGTTCTGAAGTGTTCTGTTTGTTCTCATTAGCTGATTACTGAACTGTTTGGCCAGCTGAATAAAAATGTCATCTTTTACAGTTGGATTAGTAAAATGCTACTTCAGGCTGCAATTTTATTCTTACTGATCAAGATTGAGACTAGAGAAAATTATGCTATCACTGCTAGCATTTAGCACTTTTGTCATGATTATGCATTATGGTTGCAAACTCGTATTAGGTTTTAGCACTTGGATCTCTGGTACTGCTAGTGAGTGATTTTGGTAAGTAGAAGCAGATCACAGGAAATGTAGAGAAATTCTTTTTTACCAATCTCAGCAAGTGTTGCTTTTTTGATCTTGAACTAGGCTAGCACTCAACCAAGAAGAAGTGCCTAGTTTGGGATCCTATAAAGCTATTTGCAGCGGATTCTTGGGATATTAGTTACTCAATGAAAGAGGAACTAACTGGATTCTTAAAAAATGATGTAATGTAATGAAGGAACTGAGATCTACGATACAGCGTTAACTGTGAAATTTTTATGTTGTACAGCAGCTAGTGTTCCTTGTTATTTCAACTGTAGTAACTTCTTCAGCTTCTTTATGGCTAGAATTTCTCACATTGTGTGTAATTCGTATGGAATTAAACGATGTGTTCATTCTCTGCTATAGTCTATAGGTGAAACGATATTTTACAACTGGTCTTTCTTCTGCTTCATTTTCTACCTTTTTTGTTTTTAAGTGGTAACAGTATGCAACTACAGGATTGGGGTTGCAATGTAAGAGGTCTTTGCAACAGTTCATAAACTTGCAAAACTCAATTGAACGGCTGATTAAGGTTTCATTTCTTTGGAGAGCATAATGTTGGTTAGCGGTGATTATGATCTGAGTTTATCATTGCGGTATGAGGAACCTGTGAAAGAAGCTCTCAAGGAGACAATACTCAGGCAAGAATACACGTTCAAGAAGCAGGTACTTATTCATACCTACTACACATTTTGTTTGAGACCTCAAAGTGAAAGTAGCCTAATTCTTAAAAAAGTTTGTAAATCATGACATAATATAGAAGATGGCATGAGTATATTACTTGTAAACATTGTATATGTACCGATTGTTAAATAAAGCAGCATATATACGTAAGAAAATCAGAAGAAGATGAATCAGATGTCGTGGAGAAGATGTTCCTGTTCTTTTCTTTATAATCCTCTTTTTCTATTTCTTTAGGTTTATGAACTTCACCGTCTGTACGACACACAAATGATCATGATGAAGGATCTGAGTTGGAAAGAGTTGGATGCAGTTTATTTTAGCAGAGAAGGCCGACAAGCAAATCCAGGTGCATTTGGAAATTGTATCAGACCTTCATCTATGCCAGCAGAGAAGAGAATTTGCAGCGTCCCTAAGGTAATTGAACAAGCAATTTTTGTTACTCATCACAAGTACTTCTAGTTTTTGCTCCTTTTTGGGTCTGTCTTTCTTGGTTAACCACTACATTTTGACGGATCATTTGAAGAAAAAATATCTTGCTTATAAGAAATCGGGAAAAAGACCCCTTGGGAGCATGTAGCTTTACCTGAGGTTGCTTTAGGTTATTCTTATATTTCGTAATGTGCTTCAGGTGTTCAACTGGTTACAAGAGCAGCGAGGCACCTTTCCAGGTTTCCAGCAACAGCTTTCTAATCCTCAAATTTGTTCCCCTCATTATCTTGATCCTATTGCGGGGAAGAACATGGCTAAGAGACATGGTTTGTGCAGTAGTCGAGAGAATTCAATTGAGAGAAACCATTATTACTATGGTGGTGTCGTACATCGTCCTGAGGAGGTTAATCTATCACTGACCATTGGTAGGAACCATCTGAAAACAAGTGCCAGAACAAAAACTTTTAATCATATAATTGATTTAGAGGAATCAGATGAAACACTGCCTGATACTAAAACAGGTGGCCGATCAAAGACTTGGAAAAATATTATTGATTTAGAGGAATCGTACCTCACAGTGTCTAATGGAGAACTAAAGCCCAAGTCTCCTCTGGAGCCTGTAGCTCATGTTTCTTATTCTGGATATAAGCGTGATGACCAATCCACCCACAGCTTCAATAACAACATTAAGAATAATTGGTTTGATGGGACTCCAAGAAATTATTTTGTTTCAAATAGCAGCATGAGTTGTGTGGAGCAGAACTCTTTCGCTGAAGGTCTGACAGTTCCTTATCTTTCTTCCGTAGCTACAAATATTAAAGGCAAATCACTATCAATATTATGCTTCTCTGTGTTTATCAAAACTCTGCATATTTTGCAGGAGTTGAACAATGTGAGGGGCCTCTCCTCTCCAAAGATATATCAGCAAAGAGAAAAATTATTTTTTCTGATGAACGGGCTTTTCTGGACCTTAACAAATCCTTGCCTGATGATTCTAATTGGAGAGAGCAAAATGATAACGGTTCAAATGAGATCTCTGCTTTTGTTCACCAAAGAATCCTTAATTCTGCAACTGGAAGCAGCAGCAGTGGTTATAAAAGTATGGAGAATGTTGGAGTTGACCAGTTCTCCATAAACCTCAATCGGCCACTTTCAAAAAATAGTGGTAGTCCTTGCAGCCTGATTAAGAATTTCGATTACAAGAAATCAGACTTGACCGTAGAATTTCAGGATAGGGATGATCAAGCTCCAAGTACACCAGAAACAAAAGTTAAGAATGCCAAGCAAGATGCAATATCTTCTCCTGAATGTAAGACTCAAAATATTGTTAAGGATACTGATTCTGACAGATCTCCTTCGTCAAGCAAATCTTCTTGTCTTGAGGACATATCAAGTGCCGTAGAGACCATGCAATCTGGAACTCGGTTAGGAAATTCAAGTTCCTTCCACTGTAATGCATTTCAAAATTGTGAAACACTTAAAGCAAATAAATCTCCGCACCAGGAGGATGTCGACTCTTCCAGTAACAGTGATGAGCATAAGGGAAGAATATCAAATGTTGATGATCTGATCGTAAGGGGAGCAGTGTCTCTCGTCTATCTTGCACTGGAATGTGCTGAACCATGCGACACTTACGGGATGAAGAAGATTGAAGGTGAAACTATGGAACAGCCACAGAGTTCTTTGGACAGTTTTGAAGAAATGGTGCTCAAACAACCTGAAAGTTCAGTTGACGACTATTGTGTGACCTCAAATGCATTTGAAGTTAACGACACAGAAGGAAAGGACAATGGAATAACATTGAAGAGAGGAAGGAGAATGAAAGATTTTCAGAGGGACATTTTGCCAAGCTTAGCAACACTATCTAGGCATGAGATTTGTGAGGATATAAAGATTATGGAGACAGCACTTAGATCAAGAGAATACAAGAGACTTAGGTCCAAGACGACAAGCGGACACAGTTGGTTCAATCCTGTGAGAAATAGGAGGTCTAGACTCAACTACGTAGGCCGCAAGCATTATTCATGAACTATTGATTTGATCATTGGTAGTAGGAGCAAATAGTGACCAATTTTAGCACTGAAAGATAGATCAAGGAGCTTTTTTTGAAACTTGTGACTCTTGACCATGATACTATTTTTTGAACTTCTTTGTTAAGAGTTCAATTTCACAGCATACTTAATTTGCTCAGTATTGTTTCTAAAAGGGCAGCCCGGAGAAGTGCTGGACTACAAGGGTCTATAGTACGCAGTCTTACCCTACTCATTATTGTTTCTATGCCTCTTAACTCTTTTTTCTTCTTTAAAAGATTTGCCTAGGAAAGGTTTGTGAATTTCTTTAGTTCTCTTTTCCTTTTTGGGTCTAGCACAAGCCTGCTCCAACCCCAAACCCAAACAGGCAAACTCATTGCTTTAAGCCCAGCAAGTCGAGGCCCCAAGAATTAATAATACCACACATGGGGCAAGTGCACAACTAGCCATTCTCAAAGATATTATTTAGAGATTAGCCAATACGTATTTTGTCCTGAAATTTTAAACTAAAAATCTTAACTTCGGGACAATTCCGAACATTTTTTGTCCCGAAAATTTGAATTGGAAATCGAAATTCAGGACACATTGGCTAATTCTTAAATAACAGCCGTTTAGAGTGGCTACCTGGTGTCATTTCTACTAACCCCTACACACACATATAACTTCTTACACGGATTATGTATAAAACTTAAAACTCTTTGTATAATTATTACCTATTATTACTAAAATTAAGGACTTTACTTTCATATCGATTAGTTTTCAATAAATTTCTTCCTCTCATTGATGAGAATGTTGATATTGAAACAACAAAGTCTCTTGAATAATCTTTAGGAGTTTGATTATCTTTTTATACATAGTGAACCAAGATATTTCTTAACTTCAAAGTGGATTTGAACAATTGAAAATGTGTGAAAAAGATTTTTGATTTTGTATTAAGTGGTAAGAATTGGAACTTGCAAATATAAGTATATGCTGGGTCTTAACTATGAATTTTGCTCCATCCTACTTTAGCATTATAAACCTACTATTTGAAAAATATAACATAACAAGAAAACCAAAAGAGATAGCAACCAAAGTCCAAATGTATGTAATGATGAATTGAAGGCATTTTCTGTAGAGTTTTTGAATAATGGAACATGATACGGTGCAACTATTTCGTTTTCTTGAGCCGAGGGTCTATCGGAAACAATCTTTCTATCCTATCGGAGAAGAGGTAAGGTCTACATACACATTACCCCCCAGACCCCACTTGTGGGACTATACTGGGTCGTCGTTGTTGTTGTTGTTGTTGATACGGTGCAACTATTTCTAACACTTTTTTGGTTTCACATCAGTGTATGATATTCACGTTGGAGTTCCGACTACTCCGATTCACGTTGCACAAGATCTATTAAAAAGGAAGTGCTCTCTACTAGAATTTTTCTATTCCCAGACTTCGAGCAGAAACATGTAACATGTCACTCTAATTAATCTTATTGTTTAAAGTATATAGTGTAAGATCATTCTTAGATATTGAATGATTGGACATTGGCGTTATTTCATTTGAAAATAACATGTTATATGTTTCATGCCAAAAAGAAGAAAACGATTTGGCTGTATATGCACTAATAACCCATGGCTGCCAGCTATATTTTCAACTTTCATGTTTTATATTAATTTCAGACACAATAAATAAATACTACTTACAATTATAATAAATTTCTACAAGAAAATCTTTGTCTTGAAATCCTGGATGAGGTTTTTGAGAAATAAGAAGACTCAAGTGATGATTGCCTTCTAGCTAGATTAAATCATTATGTCGCATTACTATTAAATAAATATATTATTTCAATTCAAGATGGACAATTACTTGACATCATTCATTTTCTTCAACATGAGTAGTAATTCTTTTTTTTGGTCTAACCGGCTAAAAATGATATGGTAGGACCTAAGCACTTCTTAATGTTTTTTTAGAGTCATGTCTCTCCATATAAAAAAGTTTGATGAATTAGTTGCAAATTTTCTCTTAATATAAGATCCATAAAATCCTTTTCAAAGTGAAAAACTTCAAATAATTCTAAGCTCCATAAAATCCTTTCCTAGTGCTAAATGCCATCATCGAGGTGCTTATAGCTAGGAAACACAGAGTTGTAATACATAGTTCTAAATGCCTATGTTTAGGGTCATTCGGTGTTCGTTATCTGCTTTAAAACTAATTAATTCGGATTCACAAGGCTATTAGTGGTAAAACAAGGTTGATAGTAATTTTCTTGTGTCTTAAAACGACTATACTGGAAAGAAGAATGGGAAGGCATGGGACATTAATAAATTGTCACCGTTCACAACTCTCTATATTCAAACGTACTACTCATAATATATGCTTCTTTCCAACTCCGCATAATTTAATATCCTCTTTGAACATTCATATAGATCATCAATTAGCTGTGATTGAAATCAAATATTTAAAGGTAACAACAACATACTTAACGTAATTCTTTACAGTAAACGCCTAAGAAGGATAGTGCGCGTGAATCGTATCCTTATCATATGGAGGTACGAGATGATATTTCTAATAGACCCTCAACTCAATAAACATAACGACAACAATAAATAAAAAAAAAAACGGCCGTGTAGAAGTCATAAAAAGAGTCCATAGTTAAATGGTCACTCAAGTACAACCCGGAGCCTTCTTTTTGTAAATCCTACTCCTGTGCCCCTCAATCCCATATCTACTACTTAGTCAAGCCCTTAACTACTTCTATATCTTATAACCCTGCTCTCTGATCGACGTTTTATAATCTGCATATCTATGGAAAGAGGAAACTAGGAGAGGATTCTAAACAATTCTATCAAGCTTTATCCGAAATTATCTTGTAAAGTTATCTTTATTTCGTTCGTAACAGAAAAGTCACTTAACTATACCTACATTCAACCAGATTTCTCAAACTTTTGATTGTCAAATACCTATTTTACCCTCTAAATTATCAACTTTTATCTTATTCTTTTTTTTACTTCTTTAATATGATGATTTTTCTCTTTTTAATCTCATTATAGACTTACCTATGGAACAAATATATTTTATTTATAAAATAAAAAATAAAAAATTAGTTTTCTAGGTTATATAATGTCGAAATAATATAATTGAGCAGTAACAATAATAAGATATATAATAAAATGGTCAGAAGGAAAGAAATAACATGTAGTAATAGAAACTTAATAATTGAGAAATATGAGAATAACATGTAGTAATAAAAACCTAATAATTGAGAAATATGAGAATATTGGAGAGTATTGTCTCGCACTAGACGAATCTTTAGATTTGGGATTGAAGTTGTCACTTAGTCGTACTACCAAGATGCATATTTTGACCTCATCAAATATTTTTCCATTTAGAGGCAGACATATATAGTATTTGGGCCGATTGCCACTTGAACGTACCCTACACATATTGCAACACACTCATTTAAGATCTTGGATCTCTGTCTTATTGCTTTTCAACATACTATACTCATATATAGTATGTTGCATCCTAAACCAACATTATTAAGGAAAAATGAAAAAATAAAATTAAAGAGTTGGGTCTATTTCAATCTTGGGGTTTAAATATTTTTATTCAGAATTTCAAGCACATCTCAATGAGCAGGCCTGGAAATCAAGAGAAGGATAAATGTGGACAAGTTACCAGCGGCAAATGTTATCGGTCCATTTGAAGTCAAAACTTTTGACATGGAATGTAAATTTGTAGGCAGAAATGTTCGGGACTCCCTAGACTTGGCAACATTTATTTAGTTTCTCCTTAAACTTCACGTGGTCTTTAATGCCCACTGAACTTGGAAATGTGATAATCTTGACCCTCGTAGATATTGATGTGGCAAGGAGC